AGAAGGGGAAGAACCACAGGAAGACAACCAAAGTGATGAAAGGCCTCCCGAGTCCATGCCATGTACAGCACTGGCTAAAAGACCTGGGGATTTTAGTCTAGAGGGAACTCAGAACACATGATTTTCCATACATATAACAAACATATGTACTTGACTCCAAGGGAAGAACTAGGAGAAATGAATGGGAGCTGCAAAGAGGCAGATTCAGATTTCATAAAAGGATTAGCTATTGCAAAAGCTACTTGTCTTGTTTGGCATGTTTTCGATTAGGTGTTGTACTGAGGTCCTTTCCAACTCTGAAATTCTATGTGATACTTCACTCACTAAATATATCGAGACTATTTAATGAAATTCTAACAAATTATCACATATTGTAATGACTAATGAATATAAAAATTTTATTAAGTCATTTAGCCCATTATATTTTTTCAGGACACCTACTTGTGAATATAGTCAATGAGTCTTCCAACTTCACGTTGCCTTTGTTCTGGTGTCAATCTTGTATGAACAGCTAAATCTTTCATCACATTAAAATCATTGTGCATTTTATCAGTTAGACCTTTAAATGAAAATATGTGTAGATATGTTTATACGAAAGTAAGACTTTAATAAGAAAATCAGGAAAATGGGGAAAGAAGGGGAATAGAGTAGTAACAGTAGAAACAGAAGAAATTGAAGGAACTGAGAAGCAGGAAGCACAAATAAAGTTAATTCATGATTTTCAAATACAGAGGCCAGAAAATTTTAAGGAGTTAATTACTCTAGAAAAAAAGTTAAGTACAAAGTAAGCTAGTCATCTCTCTCCAGAGCAAATAAAGTTTAATACCTGTGAGGAAGCAGAGTTCAGGCATGAGCAAAGCAGGTCCTGGTAATATACCACCAGGGCCCCTCCTCCGCTTAGGCTGGCTGACTAAAACTGGCTGCTTTAAGTCAGTGATTTCTGTGTTATATTGCTATTTAATAGAAACAAGAAAGACTGTCACCGTTAACAAATATCCTTAGTAATAGCCACAATAACAAGCAAACTTAAGTATATTTTTGAAAACAAGAATGCATGCTGATAGTTATCTTAGTTATTTGCTTTAAATCTAACTACAAAACCATCACAGTTTGTATACTTTGGAAATGTCACCTTTTTCCCTATGAATTTTCATGGCCAAAAGACATAGTAGAATGTTCTTACCAATAGCCTCACTGAATATCGAGACTACTAACAGCACTATTAGTTATGTAAAGAAGGGTTCTTTGTGGTATAATGGATTTAGTCCTGGATTTAGTAGTCAGGAGACCTATGTTTGATTCCCAGTGAAGTGGGTCACTTAACCTCCTTGGGCATCATTTTCATTTCTAAAATAAGGGAGTTGGACAGTTTAAGAGATACCATCTTTGTTTCACAAGTCACATGTCAAACTTATCCTCTCAAGTTTTAGTCTTCACTATCCTCCTTGTCCAAGTGGTCTATTCCAATTAAAGTCTTAGATTCTCTAAAAGAAACTGAACTCTAATGCTGTTTTTAAGAGAGCCTATGCTGTGAAACCAGGTTACAGGCATTTTAACACGAAGTCCTTCTAATACTTGTAATACTCACATTGTATATTAAAGCAAGTAGAGCAATGAGATATTATTCCATGTGCATCATAAAAAAGCAAATATTATATAAATTGCAGACTATTTTAATGGCCTGTTGTAAGTAAAAAAGCATTTTAAATGGTAGATACTGATATATCTCTGTATATTCTTATATGACAAACTTCCTCTTGGATTCTCTCAACCTAAATTCTAAGGATATCTTCAAGGACAAATCTGGATACTTTTCAAAGCTTTTGATAGTAAATCATGCCTGTTCACTTTCTCCAATTTCTATAAATACCTCTTTCTCACCCGATTCCTATGCCTTTAGCAATTTTGGTGGGTTGTATCAAGCCACTGAGGAACTTCTCAGGGAACCATCCTGTCTCCCTTACTTTTATCACTACTCATATGTTGTCATATGTGAATTCATGGGACTTCCCACCACCTCAGTTCAGATTCATACAAACACTGTCTACAAGACATTTAACCAGTTATCCCCAATTGCTAACTTCACCAAGTGTTCCTTTCTTCTTAGTTTTGCGTATTCAGTCTCACCCATTTTGAAAGAGATTAAAAAGTTTCTTACTTATGGTTCTTAATTCTTTATATCAAGCCCATTCTACCCAAGTGCCACTTCTTCCTTCATTCCTATTATTTCATTGTTAAGGAAAATTCCTGGATGAGCAAACCCCTTTTACCAGTCACACTAACAATGTATCAGAGACAAAGCTCAAAATTAAGGTCTTACTTGCTCCAAGGCCTGCTTTCTATCCAATACACCTGTGCTGTCAAACTCAAATAGAAATGGGGGTAATTAAACTGTACATAAGGCTCCCTGTGGGCTGCATGTTGACTTAGTTTTGAAATGTAATATCTATATTTTGTTTTATTTTAATTTTGTTAAATTTATTTTAATATGGTCTGGGCTACACTTGGGAGTGTTGTGTGTCATGTGTTTGACACCTCTGCACTATGCCATACCGATTCTTCTTTTGTCACAGTTATAGAACATCAGAGTTGGAAAAGACCTCAAAAGTCATATAGTTTCAGCATAGAGCAGGAATCCCATTTACAACATTTCTGATATATTATCTAGCCTCTCTCCTTTAGGCCCCAATAACAAGCTACTCACTATCACTTATGACAGCTCATTTTAAATAGTTTTCTTAATGTAAAGGTGAAATATGCCTATACACCAATAACAAGCTACTCACTATCACTTATGACAGCTCATTTTAAATAGTTTTCTTAATGTAAAGATGAAATACGCCTAAACTACTTTTAATCCTTCTAAGAGACAAATAAAACAAATCTGATCCTTATTCCAAGAAGAGTCCTCCAAATACTTGAAGGTTACAGGTATCTTCCCTAAGTAGTTCTCTCTTCAATCTAAATATTACTTACTACTTATTTTCAAACGATTTCTTTATTGTATAGTTTCACATCTTATCATATCTGGGTTGTCCTCCAGTTTGTCAATGTAAGAACACTGCCTACACCAAAGATTGAAGCCACTGAAGAAGATGTAGTAATGTCTAATAGTAATATAATAACATCTAGTCACCCCCCCTCACAATTAGTAATGTCCAGCTGTTGAGACTGATAGATCAAAATGCCATCTAGACCACCCATACCTTTCTCTCTGCCATAAATGCAAGGCTTTATTAAGGAAGGAAGGGAGTAGCTCAGGAACACTTCTATATTTCTACCATTACCACCTTAAATCAAGGTTTTGTCATCATCTCGTGCCTAGAAGGCTTAAAAAAAACAAAACATAAACCTCTAATACTAGTCCCCATTTCCTCTTTTGTTAAATAAGTCTACCTATAATTATCACAGACAGCTAGGTGGTACAATGGATAAAACCCGTGGGGTCAGGAAAATTCATCTTCCTGAATTCAAATCCAGCCTCAGACATTTATTAGCTAGGTGACCTTGGGCAAGTTACTTAACCCTGTTTACCTCAGTTTTCTCATCTATAAAATGAACTGAAGAAGAAAATGGCGAAACGCTCCAGTATCTTTACCAAGACAACTCCAAATGGGGTCACAAAGAGTTGGACATGACTGAAACAACTGATCAATAACAGTTATCAGTCAGTACAATCAGGTGTCCTAATGTCCCCACTCTTCTCTTACAAGTGGCTTTTTACACCAAGTTAGATATCTATTCTAAGTGAGGCTATAGGAAAATCTTTCTGAAATGCTTGCATAGATGGCCTTGATATCTGCATAAATTCTAGCCTTGAACCTAAAATTTTTCAACATCTGTTTTGTTATTTACCCTTGCATCTAAAATGTCAAAAATATTGCCCCTCCCCCCTGCCATATTCACTGAGACAGCCCTGGAAAACTTTCTATATTGGACCTTACCAAGTATTCATTTAATTGAATAAACTTTAAGTACAGAGAGATTTCCTTAGTTCTCTCTCACTGTCCCCTTTGACATCACCACCAAAATACCTTTGAGTTGAAAATTACCTATGAAATGAAAAAAAGAAATAGTAAAACTTCATTTATCTGGCATCCCTGAAAAAGGAGTTCCATGTAACCAGATTTTTCAGATAACTGAAGTTTATGTTTCTAAGTAACAAAATATTTATTTTAGCCCTTTTTTGATGGAACCCATTCTAAGTTTTATTACTCACTAGTCTGATTTTTTTAAAATAGTCTGGTAATTTTTTTTTATGATGACAAAAAGTCATTATTATTGCAAAATATTCTAATAGAGGGATGCCTCTCAAGGGTTACTCCAGTGCATTTTGACTATGCCATGAATTGTCTGTCTCCAGATAGCCATTCTTTGGGGCTTTGCCTTTTTATATTTTCTCCTCAGCCATTCTTTGGGGCTTTGCCTTTTTATATTTTCTCCTCAATGACCAGTGTGCCAGCTGTTAGTTCTTCCTGCTTTAAGGGTGTAGGTGTCTCTAGCAGTTTCCTTTTCATCAGCCATAGGCTGGGAAACCGGACAACTAAACTCAACATGATAGCTTTGTGGCTAAAAAAATCACAACAAACAAGCACCAAGTGAAGCGTCTCAAGGCACATTAACTTTATAACAGTGATTTGGCTGCTCAGAGGCCCTTCCTCCTCTTCCTAGATAGCTGAAGCTGCTAAAGAGGTGACATCCAGATAAATAAGGTACTAATGCATCTTACTGTGTAGGTGTATATATGCATATGTTTTTATTCTGTATGTATCGTTATAACCTACCTTCGGGGCATAAATGAGAGAAAAAGGCAATCACATAAGTTTCTTAAAGCTTATTTTTATACCTTTCTGTAGTAGTCTAAAAAGCTGATTTCAGAGCCATCTGCTTTTTTAAAGGTGCTTCTTGGATTCTGCTCCCAGTCAATATCATCTACTCTATAGGTTTTGTTGTTGTACCTGTAAAACAATTCCAGGAATTTCAATAATCCAGAAGTGACAACGGCAAACTTTTACTATAAATAAGATTAGGTAACAGAAAGAATGAATAGCAGTTAAGTGGTTCTTCTGATTTAAAAGCTCTGAAGGTGATGAAATTTTAAATTAAAATTTTGTTTTTTCTAGAGAAAAAAAATTTTTTTAGTTAGCTCTAAATGTATGATTTAAAAGACCTAGAAAGAAGGACATTCTGAAGAAGCTGTTATGGATAATTGAGGGGGGTAGCCATCTGTGAATTAACACTCCAGAAAAACAGGCCATTAAAGATCTTCGTATGATGTTGCTTTTTGCACTTCAAAGTATATGTAAAATGTACCGCAAGGCAATCCTTTAAACAAAGCTATGTAATGCTGAGATGGGCCAAAGGGGACAACTATTTCTCCTCCCTTGCTTCTATTCTCCTTATCTTAAGAATTCAACTGGCCTGTCAGCCAGAGGTGTAGTCAGTACTTATGAAGAAGAAAGAGTAACACACCCTTACTGTGAAGAATTTACGGAAAGACTTTAGAAAGTTGTAAAGTAAAAACAAACGGAGCTTTCTCACTTGGTAAGAACGATTAATCCTATTAATTCTTTAGAGACTTGTTCTTGAAATCGATGTTCACCAAACTGTTGATGCAGGCTGAACATAAAATCTAAAACAGTTTCACTTCGAAGAACCTTATGGCTTATATCAGTACACAGCATAATGTTATTCTCATACTGAAGAATGGAGGTAGTGAATCCTGGCCAAATTACCAACCTGTGAAGGAGTGTAAAAATTTTTTAGAGGTTCTATTGTAAATGCATAATACTCTACCTTAAATTTACACAAGACCCATAATCCAGATTTCTTTCACTTCTTTTCCATGCTTTATATTTAAACTTTAAAAAGCATCCGTTAGTTTCATTCAGTACTCTGATTAGTCCCTTTAAACCATTATTAGTTTTTTTTTTTTTTGGCAGGGGGTGGGAGGGAGAATGTCTTAAACTTATTTCAAAATCATTTCCACTGAGGGATCTATAGTAGATGAACTGTTTAGCAGTTCATCTGGAAGAATGGAAGGAAGGGTAGTATTCACTGGACTGCAAATTCAAAATAACTAAAAATTGTATTATAGTAGCCAAAAGAGCTAGTGAAATCTTAAGTCTGCCCCTCATTAAATTTCCAGGTGATAATCTCATTCTACTCTGGCCTGGTCAAAACACATCATCAAGTATTATGTTCTGATCACTATATTTTAGGAAAGATTTCACTAAGTTGGAAAACATACAGAAGAGTGTGAAAAATATGAAGATTTTCAAGATAATGCTGTAATTATACTGGTTTAAGGATGTTTAGCCTGGGAAAGAAAGGATTTGATAGAGACATGATAATTTTCATTACATATCTGAAAATCTGTCAAAAAGGGATTAGAGTTAAACTTTTTTTCTGCTTGGTCCTATAAACCAGAACTAGGAAGAAAAAAAAAACAGATTCAGGATTAATATAAGGAAAAACCTCCTAGCAAAATTAGAAGTAACCAAAGGGATGAAATGGGCTACCTTCAGATGTGGTGAATTTCCCTTCACTAAAAGTCTTCAGTCAAAAGCTAAGGGCCAGTTGATGGAGATAGTGTATGTAGGAGGGTAAACTATTAAGGTGTCAGTTGGATGGATTAGAAATCTGAGGCCTGTTTCAATTCTGAAATCACAGATATATAGCCCAAGAGGCTACAGCGTCTTGGCTGCAGGGTCAATTAATCCCACCCCTTCAACTGGCAGATGCAACAACTTAAGCACAAACAGTTAAGTGTCTTGCCCCAAGGTCACAAGTAGAGTATATGGGGTAACTGAGATTACATCTAAGCCCACATCCCTCAACTCCAAAATCTAACACCTTCCACTTCATGTGTTGCCTTTTGGTAGATCCTTTGATTCTCACCAATGTAAGAGTTTATAAAATGAGTTGTGGCTTGATTAATGTCAAGTAATACAATGCACTCTAAAAGTTTACCTAATCAGTGAAAATAAAAAGCAGCAGATATTCAGGTTTAGTGGACTAATTTAACTGATGATTTTGGCTGTTAAATCTGTATTGTCTTGAGACATCCAAAAGTTTATAAGATTTGGCCAGTTTATAAATTTAGCACTGGTAATATTAAACTAACTTTCAATCAACCTAAAAGGCCCTTTGCTGCCCTTCCTACCTTATAAATTCCTTCCTCCCTTTACCTCCAACAAAAAAGAATAAAAATTTAAAAATCCTATAATGTTGGTATCAGCAACCTAGATTTAAAAAAAGAAGACTTCTAATTTATACTTGATGTATACCAGGAAGTTGAACATGTCATTAAACTTTTAATAGCAGAAACAGACTGAAAGGCCTTGGGACTCACACTTCAGTACTTTGGGCCTTTTTCCTCATCTGAATAAACTGAGTATTTAGTAATTAGGTAGTCTAACTCTATTCTGGCTCTAACATTCTAGAGTTCTCATATGAGCTTTTTTATCTAATAGTTCCTACACTTGAAAAATACCCATCAAATAAGATTTTCATTTCCAATCCCAAAATATCTAAGATACATACTAACCTATGATTTGGGATATTAATCGGATCACTTGGATTATAATAATTACGTCCAATTTGTTGCAAATTCATGATCTTCAAAAGCCTGGAAATAAAAAAAATCAGAAAAGTTTTAATGGCATTGGTTTTACTTTATCATCCTTGGTTACCCAATATTGCTACATTGACCCTACATATGCTGGTGGATCTACGATATCAATTGGTGTGTGAGCTTTCCTTTTTCCTACAATCAACTCAAAATCTCTCCAACCTTTGTGATTCTTATTCATGGCAACTGAAGACTCTAAAGAGCTACACACTAATCTTAAAACTATCAACCTCACTAATAAGACAAATTCAAACAACTCTGTGATACTACATCATACCCATTATATTGGCCAAAGTAATCTAAAATATAAAAACTAAATGCTAACAAGGTTGTGAAGAAACAGGTATACTCATTAATTACTAGAATAACTGCAAATTTATATAACATTTTTGGAAGCCACTCTAGCAGGATGTGGTCCATTTATTGAGAATACACCCTGACAGGGTTATCAGAAACAAACAAACAAAAAAAAAAAGTCATCCTAACACCATCATTTGCAACTGCAAAACTTAGAATCCACTTGAACATCAAATGAGGAAATAGCCAAATAAATAAGATGTAGTACATTAATGTAACAATATTATAATTAAAACCAGTAAGTATAAGGAATAGAAAAAAATCTTTAAATAATATAAAATATGGGTTAGGTAGCTCAGTGGATAGAGCACCGGCCTTGGAGTCAGGAGGACCTGAAGTTCAAATCCAGCCTCAAACACTTGACACTTACTAGCTGTGTGACCTTGGACAAGTCACTTAACCCCAACCGCCTAGCAGAAAGAAAAAAAAGAAAGAAATAATATAAAGTGGAAAAAATATAATCTATATACTGCACCACCTAGCTGCCAGTGAAGATTCAGCATTCTCAGTAAAAGACACTAAAGATAGTTTTAACAAACCTTCTGAAAATAATGTTATAAAATTGTAAACAAGTTGGTGAAGTGGGTGGAAGTTCATTTGTTAAGGTGACTGTTATCTTCACAGTTTCTCCATTCCGAGTCTGACTAAACACTTCTGTAACCTGAGAAAAAGCATGAGTAAATAAAAAAGCATTTATTAAGCACTCATTCTGTGCACCAAATTCTTTGCTTAGAATATGCTTAGAATAATACTTGAGCACTGAGAATGCAAACAGTAGAAGACAGTCCCAGCTATCCAGGAGCTCAAAATCTAATTTGGGAAGTGAGACGGGGAGGAGAATAGCACATGATACAAAGACAGGCCCACAAATCCAAAGGATAAAATGATGGGGCAAAAGGCAAGGCCCAAAGGTTCTTAGGTTACATAAGTAGTTAAAAGGAAATGCTGCGGGCCTAGAAGGCAGATTGAGTATCTTAAAAGGCAATGGCAGGGAAGATGGGCAAGGCCTGGTGGTCCTTCCTCTGTTTCATCAAAAGGAATTGAATTATTGACTCTCAACTTATCCAAGCCCTGTGAAGTCAAACAGTAACAGCAAAAGAAGTGGCAAGAAAGCAGGATGCCCCTGATGATGGCAGCTTTTCCTGCATTCCAAATATCCTGGATGGATTTTGGGACAGCCTAGGCTGGAGACAGGATGGCAAGGCAAGGCATTAGAAAGACTATTAATAGTTAATTTTTAAAAAGGAAACAAAGTCTTGCAGCATAATATTAATTCAGTTAGCTTTTAAACACCTAACAATACAGATACTCTTAACTACGAGGACTCTAAAGGATAGATTTCATTAGTCAACACTAAATATAAAGAACCGTTCTCTTAGTTTTTCTTCTTTGAGTTGCCTTTTTTTAAATCATGCTTTCATGTGAAAGGATATGATCTATAAACCTCCAAATATTCCCATTTACAAAGTACAAAGAATGAAATCAAATGTGTAAACCTAATATCAACAATGGCGTTTTGGCATGATAAATTTTATGCCTTTAAAAAATCCAAAATAATGGTAACTTTGTATTACAATTCAATTTTAATATCTGAAAATTATAATTAAGGAACTTACTTGACCTCCTAATGCCCTAGGCAACTCTTTAAGATTATAAGTTGCAGAAGGGTTGCTGATCTGCATTGGTAGAAGGAGATCCTTAATTGAGAGTTCCTTATATCAATGATATCACAAGATGGATTTTTAAAAAAAGTTAGGACTACCAAACAAACAGCTCTGAGTTTAATTCCAAATTTCCATTATGGGGCCCTTCAGTATTCTCTTAAACTGATATGATATTCTGAATTATCCAGCACCACAACTAGTGATTTCCCCTAACTTTAAAAAGAGTTTTTAATATCAAAAAGCATTAAAAAATATCACAACCTTATTTTGTAGTCTTTTGGGTAGAAATAATATTGTTCCATCAAAAGCATGACACCTTCCTATTAATTCTTCATGTTGAAAAAGTAAAGCTGAACGGAGTCTCCTGGCTTCCATTTGTGGGTTATAGTCAACATGGTACTGATACAAAGCCCACTGGGGACGAGATGTCAGTCGAAAGTGATTTGTGCTTAATCTTACTACGATGCCTGAAGAACCTGAAAAACAGAGCAAGAGGTTATCCAATTGTGAAATTTTTAAAGTGCTCATTCTTACCTGAAACACATTTCAAATAAAAATCTAAGTAGATCAGTTTCCTTAAAATAGGCAAAAAGAACAAGAGTATAGTCTCAGCTATATCCAACTCTTTAAAGACCACTACCTCATCCATTTATCCATTTATTTTTTAAGCAGATACAGAAATTTACTCCCTAAGCAATTAAGCCTACCCAAAGGTCTAATATTATTAACACATATACTTGCCAAATAATCTCACTATATTGAAAGACCTAGCCAATGGCCCACTAATTTGATATAGTATTAGAAACAACCAATGGCAAAGCAAAGAATTTTTAACACTCTCTAATAATTACAAGATGCGATTTGACCTGTTCATTTCAAAACAAGATGTGAGAATTCTTATTTTTTTTTCCCAGGACAAATAGGGTAAGAGAAAAAAAAAACAAAAATGGCAAACCAAGAACCTTCATACCATCTTGTCTGCTTTGCAATGCATATAATATTAAATTGCAAATGAAAGACAGAAAATGTGATACTACAATTTTATAGTCACATTATTTAATAGATCCTTCCCGAACTTGTGTGTACCTTAATAGACTTAAGATGCACCCTTCTAAAAGGACATTCCTTAAAGTTGACAAACCTGTTTTTGACTCTTTAACATGTTCTAAATTCTGTCTGGTATTCACCCCAAGGTCATGGAAATCTCTTCGACGGCCTCCTCTCTCCCCCAAAGATAGCTCCTGGAATCCCGCTGAAATCTGAAGCTCTTAATGATTTTGAAAAATAAAATTATACATTAGTAATAATGCCACCAAAATAGAAAAAAGGAACTACATTAATTTCTCTAATGCTATTAAAACAGATCCCTGAAAGCAGCTGAAATACTCAGAGCAATATACAGCTGGTCTTTATCAACACTGCTCCAGTTATCTGCTGGCAAAATAATCAATAAAATAAAACCTTAAGAATTTCTCAACAATCTTTAGAAGACATGACTTCAGAAATGTGTAATATCAAGATAGCATCTCTTTTTCAGACCTTTACAATTTTTGTTTTCTAGTCTATATATTATTTTCCTTATTATACACTAAAACATTTATTACAAATGATAACATTGAACAGCAGTTTTCTAAGTAGTAAAAAGTCAAAAAGCCAAGGTAACACTTTAAAGGTATCAAAACTTCTGCTGTTATTGCTTTGTTCCTTTAGATGGAATGTGTAATAGTAGTGAGTTTGAATAGAAATTTGTTCAGTATGTGCCCAATATCTTTGTCAAGTAACTTTCCCCAACTGAGTGTAGAGATTATGAATAAAGATAATTCTTTACTTTTTTTTTTTTACCCCCAGATAACTGACAAGGCCTCATATGCTTAAACTTTTAAATGAGTATTTTCTAGTTTTCTCCTAGATTGAACTTTTATTTCAAATTTGTGCTATAGACCAAGCCTAGTTTAAAAACTGACACTCATGTGGGTAAAACATTAACAAGTGCTACAGGCAAGGTTGCATTTTAATTTAGAGATTGGGAAGATTCAATTTAATTAATGTTTTTTGTATAAAAAAGAATATTCTTTATAGGTCTCATTTCTTTACCTTCTTAAAACTGTTTGCCATTGGATGGGAAAGGGGCCTAATGTAAACATGCTTGGCAAAAATCAAAACCATTGCTCATATCTGCTTATGGCCATATACAACAGTTCTATGGATTTATGCTCTCAACAATGGCACTTTTGTCCTCTTTATAGGACATAACAAATGTGGTGATTTTCTGTGCTTAACATTCCACAGGTAATAGTGCAACACTCCAGCTATCTGTTATCTTTCAAATACATAATAAGTCTACCTCCTTTAACCCTCAATAACACTATTTATGTCACTTCAGTGCTGTTAACATACCACAGCCTCCTTATACCCACCATCTTTCTCTCCCTTTCCCACTATGATTCAGTTACATATACAATACTGTTTCATTCAATCCAAACATTTAGTAAGGTATTACAATGTGCGAGGCATTGGGGATACAAAAATAAAGTAACACAGTGCCTGTGTTTCAAATCTTACTTTCCACATTGAGGAAGAGCAAAGGAGAATATGATATACACAGATAAGCATATATTACAAGTGAGGTAAATAATACAAGGGCAATCTGATGAGGGTAAAGGAGAGATCTGAATTGTTCTAGAAATAAATGAGGTGGAAGAAAACAACCCCTTTCAGCCAGTGGGAGGTAAAGAGAGAAGGGGAATCAGAGATTTCACTGAGGAGGGCCGCACCTAAGAATCTTCTTCCTTAATGGCTCATTTAAAGACAGACTTAGAGGAAGACATGACAAGTATAGGGGACAGCCTGTGTGAATGTTTGGAAGCAGAAGGATATGTCCATTTGGAGAATAAGCTAGTAGTTTAATATGGCTGAAATATGGTGTTTGAAAGAGAAAAATATTAAATAAAACTACAGAGGTAAGCTAGGACTAGATTGTGAAAGGACTTAATAAAATGACAAATTTGTTTTTTTAGTCTGTAGACATTAGGGAATCTTAGAAGGAATAATCTGAATGTGAAAGATAGTTTGGAAACTAGAAGGCTCGTGTCAGGGAGGTAAGAAGCTGTTACAGTTGCGCAGTAAAGACATGATAAGGGTCTGTACTTCATCTTTGGAGGCAAATTAAGTCTCTGAACTGAGATTAAACTCCTCTAACTGAAAAAGCACTGTTTTCACTGAATAAAGCCAATTTTTTCGAATCCAAGTTAGGTCATCCCTAGCTCTTTCTTTGTATTCCTTATGAATATACAGATCATTTACCTCTCTGTTCATGAGCAAGGACAAAATTCCTTATATGTCTGCTATGATATGGCTCTGTATAGGAAACTCCCAATGATGTAACGCATTCTACCAAAGCAGACTAACAACTCTTCTACAATTCAGAGAGTATCCTGGGAGCAGAGAGAGGTTTGAATGACTTGCCATGTCCAACCAGTGCCTAACATTTTATTCTCCAGCTTCTCTTCCCCCAAACAAAACAAATCCTATGCATCTGCCTGACTAAACTTTTTCTATGAGCAGTAGTTCTTTCACCCAGTTTCCCAAGTTCAAAAATTCTTAGACTCTGTTTTCTCCCCTACCTTATAGCTAAGCTATCAACAGTTTCTTTTTTTATCTCATCTCCTATAAGTAGCTAAATTGTACAAAACCTTTGTATATTGGCCCTCTTTTACCAACCATCTGTAACAGTACACCTCTTAATGAGTTTTCTCACCTCTACTTTCTCCCTTTACCACCAATCCATCCTTAATAATGCTGCCACACCAAGCTTCCTTTCTTTGTGCATAAACTTGCTATTAACACACTGCTCAAAAATCTTCATTGTCACATCTATAATGCCCAGGCACTTCTAGTCGGCACAATAATTTTCTCAAGACTTTGGGGAAATAAAGTTGACTCCTGAGGCAGTGTAGTGTAATACAATTTGACTTAGAGGTATAAGCTATAGGCAAGGAGCTCAGGATTTCGGAGTAACTGGAATAGGTCTGAAGGAAATGACATGGACAAGGAGAGATCACTGAGAAACCCACATCAAAGGTTCAGAAGAAAATACTAACAAGAGGTTACTTTATAAATAATAAAATTCATCTAGAATAACAAAAGGTCAAGTACACCAAGGAAAATAATGGGGGGGAGAAGTCGAAGGAAATAAATGAACCTAGAAAACTATTTCTTACTACATATAATGACACACACACGTATACTATGAAGCAGTAATTTAAATCATTTGGTATTGTTAAGAATAGAAAAGTTCATCAGTTGAAAAGATTAGGTAAACATGATCCAGTGTTCAATAAACCCAAGGAAATCAACTTTTAGGGTTAAAAACTCCCAAATTTGACAAAAACTGCTAGGAACAATGCAAAGTGATCTGGCAGAAATTAGATTTCAGTCAACATTTTATATTATAATAAATTCTAAATGAAAGGAGATACCTTTGTGACTATGTCTTGGGGGGGTAAATTCTTAACTAAAAAGTGATAAAGGTGATCACAGAAGATAAAATAGGCAATTATTACATAAAATGTTAAAACTTTTGTATACGCAAAAAAATTAGAAGGGAAAATCTTCAGAGAAAATTTCTCATATACATCTGGATGTCCAACAAATATAAGGGATATATTTACATATAAGTGTATAATTATATATTATAGTATTATGTATTATATATATCTAAAATATATAAGGAATATATTACAAATATATTTAAAAATAAGCCCCATTCTTCAATAGGTTAGGTGGTTTAGAACAGCCACTTTCTAATTTATTTTAAAAGCAAGCTATCAACTAACTTATGAAAAAGTACTCCAAATCAACAATAATAGAAGTATACATTATAATAATTCTGTGGTTCCACACTTCACACCCATCAGATTTACAGAGATCACAAAAAGAGGAAAATGGCTACTGTTAGGGCAGGCTAGGAAGGAAATCCACATCAATCCACAGTTGATACCACTCTGAATTGGTCCAATCACACTGAATGAAAAACAAATTTAAAACTACACCCAAAGTCACTAAAATAAACAAAATATCACTACTATGCATATACCTCTAAAGAAGACAAAGAGAG